GAAGTGGTCTTCTCTCGTCTGTGGAGGCCATCAGTCAGCATGGCTGTACCTTGTTTGGCTGCAGACTTTGGCAGCTCATTGGTGTTGGATAATGAGAGCTCAGATACACAACTAACAAGCCACAGAGGTATTTCAGTCCATCCCAGTGTCTACTGTATGACAGTATAAAACATCACAGACTGTTCTTTGTGCATACATGAGCACTATTGCGAGGTTTTATTCCTTTACTCTAATAGTATACTGACAGAGCCAGCTCAGAGAAAAGATACCCCACTTACAGGTGATTTCAGTCAGTGTTAATGACTGCAGGACAGGATGGATGAAGAAAGACTAATTTTTTTTAGTGCGGCAGAACTCATAAAGCTGGGACAGGGAGACTAGCTGAGGAGACACAGGATGCTTTTTACGCTAAGCTGCGTTGGCTTATAAGCTGTCCAAGAAACGTAACAGAAGTCAAAATGTGTTTTGTTGCTTTGTATGAAAACAGTCAAATCAGTTTGTTGAAGAGCTGTTTATCAAAATATGATTCCTAACATAGCAGAGAGATTTATTCTCTGCTTCCTCTGGTCTTCTGGCTTTACCTCCTAGAAATTCAAGCTTAAGCCACCGCAGGCTTATTATTAGCTTTGTCTGATCCTAGGTGCATAGGTCAAGGCTAGTGGAGTTCCCTGTTCTTAAGGTGCCATTTATCTTCAGCCTGGCCCCAGCGTTGTGGTTTGAAACTAAGCAAAATGCAGGTCACTGAAGGTGGGGAGGAAGGTTTTAAAGAAAAATTTTAAATAAGTTTCTGCAACTGTCACACTTGATTCTTAGTCCAAGTTCACTGGCTTACATCTGAAAATTTCAGAGGAAATACTACTTTGGGAGTATTCGTATTCAGAAAACCAAATGTAGAGGAGCCATAATAAATATTTATACTTCAGTTACATTTAAAATAATTTGTTTCCCTTTAAAATAAAAGGTATCTTTAGTATCTAGGGAGTCTGGCACTTCTCTAGGAAATAAGAGATAAAACATTGCAAA